CTTTGTGTGTCCCAGGGCCCCTTCACTCTGAACGCGCCCGACGAGGCGCAGCCACTGGGAGGCATCCAGAGGTTGGAAGCCCGCCGATCACCGAGCGCGCTCCACTCAGAGGAGGAAAAGGTATCCATGCCTCTACCCTTCCCTCGCATTCCCCTTTCTGGGGCTCCTCGGAGGCCCTCGTCGCCCCCCCTGGATTCGCCTCGAAATTCTGGTCAGAACGCACCCTGGGAGAGGTCCGTGGAGTAGCGGTATCGGTACCTTTTGGTTTCCACATCCACTGCTCGCAAAAGCTTGGCATCGCTCGGGCGTGTGCCTCTTCTTTCTCGGCGAGAACCATCGAGGGCCATCCTGGACCATCGAGCAACAACAAAGCACGCACGGAACCGAAACAAAAACACCGGGAAAGGGACGTCCGAGCGGCGGCAAGAAAGTGCCTTCGCACAAACATTCGAAGTGCACGCGCGTCTTCGTCCGCGCGGGGGGCCGCGGGTGCCCCGCGGCGGATCGGGGCCACGTGCAATCAGCTCGGTCTGGCGAGTCGCGGGACGCGCTTGCCTAGCTTTAAGCCGGGCCTGCCCCTCTACTACAGTCTGGACGCCCGAAACCAGAGCCCCGAATCATCAGGGGTAACTCGGGTCAGGGATAACTCGGGTTCGTTTTTCGGGAATCCAAGCCCGGATTACCCCGGACCCGAGTTACCCCGGATAATTCGGGCGTCCAGAGCCCCGAATCATCAGGGGTAACTCGGGTCAGGGCTAACTCGGGTTCCTTTTTTTCCGGAATCCAAACCCGAGTTACCCCGGACCCGAGTTATCCCAGATAACTCGGGCGCCCAACGAAATGGGCACGGAAAGAATGGGTACAATGCCTAACAGCAGTTCCTGTTCCTTTTGAACCGGGTTCGCTGTCCACGCCGCCGCGGCCCGTGTCCACTCGAGACAGAAGGCCGCCTGCCCCACAGCGGCCGCTGTTGGTCTGGGACAACACTTGTTGCTGGGCATTGTACCCATGTTTTCCGTACCCATTCCGGGCGTCCAAATACAGAGGGAATATTCAAAAATAGTACAGTCGGGGCACTGAGGAAGGAACCCTTTTCGTTGGTGAGGGGCTCGGTATTCCTTAGTTGTTTTGCAGTTCGCCTTTGGTTTTGCTTAGGGCTTCGATGGGGAATCGAAGTTAAACTTATGGGAAGAATCAGAGCCCCGAATCATCAGGGGTAACTCGGGTCAGGGCTAACTCGGGTTCGTTGTTCGGGATTCCGAACCCGACTTACCCCGGACCCGAGTTACCCCGGATAATTCGGGCGTCCAGAGCCCCGAATCATCAGGGGTAACTCGGGTCAGGGCTAACTCGGGTTCCTTTTTTTCCGGAATCCAAACCCGAGTTACCCCGGACCCGAGTTATCCCAGATAACTCGGGCGCCCAACGAAATGGGCACGGAAAGAATGGGTACAATGCCTAACAGCAGTTCCTGTTCCTTTTGAACCGGGTTCGCTGTCCACGCCGCCGCGGCCCGTGTCCACTCGAGGGAGAGAAAGGCGCTGCCCACAGCGGCCGCTGTTTGGTCTGGGACAACACTTGTTGTTGGTCATTGTACCCATGTTTTTCCGTCCCATCCGGGCGTCTCAACTACAGGAGGGAATATGCAAAATAGTTTTACATCGGGGCAAGAGGAAGGGCGCCCTTTTTCGATGGTGAGGGGCTCGGTGTTCCCGTTAGTTGTTTTGCAGTTCGCCTCTGGTTTTGTTTAGGCTTTATGGGGATCGAGCTAACTTATGGGAGATCAGAGCCCGAATCATCAGGGGTAACTCGGGTCAGGGCTAACTCGGGTTCGTTGTTCGGGATTCCGAACCCGACTTACCCCGGACCCGAGTTACCCCGGATAATTCGGGCGTCCAGAGCCCCGAATCATCAGGGGTAACTCGGGTCAGGGCTAACTCGGGTTGGTTTTGTCCGGAGTCCGAACCCGAGTTACCCCGGACCCGAGTTACCCCGGATAACTCGGGCGCCCAAAAGAAGAAGCCTCGCTCCTTATTTAGGGTTCCTTAGGCCAACGCCCCTTCTGTGGGCGCACGCCCGCCTTGAGCCCAGCCGAGAGCCGGCGGGCACCTCGACCGCCGCTCCTCGCTCCGCGCGAGCCGCCGTCCGCCCCGGGCCCTCGGAGCCCATCCCCCGGCATCGCTCGGACGTGCGCATATTTCTTCTCGGCGAGGGCCATCGAGGACCATCCTGGACCATCGAGCAAAAAAAAAAAAACACGCACGAAACTCAGGAGGGCCAGAAACACACAGACACAAGTCATCGTCGACCCCCAGGAAGGGACAAGATGGGAAAATATGGGAAGTGGGGGGGGAAGACAAAAAACCCAGAACATACGGTATTTATTTGCGTGTATTTATTTGCGTGGAAGTGGATGGGGCATATTTTTATTTGCGTGTATTTATTTGTGTGTTTGTGGGCCCCTTTCAGAAACCGAAAAACGCACCATCGAGGACCCCAAACCACCCCAACCCAACCCGAAGGCCCAAGTTTGCCCTCGATTTCCAGTGGGGGGGGGTCGGGGAACATCGAGAAAACACATGGAACCCGTACCCCCCCCCCAACCCGACATTCGGGCCAACTTCGGATCTTCGGGTTGGGTTGGGGTGGGGTGGTAGGTAGCCACATCCTGGACCATCGAGCAACAACAAAAAAACACGCACGACACCGAAACATGCACCGGGAGATGGACGCCCGAGCGACGGCAAGGGAATCCCGAGCCGCGCCGCCCTGCGGCGCGCGGCGCACGCCGGGGCCCCCTCGTCGCGGGGAGGGCGGCAGGGCCCCCCCGCGGGGGCCGCGGGCGGTCCGGCAGCCGCGGGCGGCGCGCTCGGACGCGGTCCTCTCATCCTCCTCCGCCCTCCTTGCTCCTACTCCTCCTCCTCCTCCTGCCTCCTCATCCCCCTCCTCCTCCTCCTGCCTCTCCTGCCTCCTACTCACCCTCCTCCTCCTTCCTCCTCTATCATTCACCTGCCTCCTCCTCCCCACCTCATCCTCCCCCTTTCCCCCTACTCCTCCTCCTCCGTCCTCCTCCTGCCTCCTCCTCCTCATCCTCCTCCTCCTCCCCCTCCCTGCCTCTCCTCCTCCTCTCTCTCCTCCCTCTCCTCCTCCTCCTCTCCTCCTCCTCCTCCTTCCTCTACTACTCCTCCCCTCCTCATCCCCCTCCCCCTACCTCTCCTCTGCCTCCTCCTGCCCCTGCCGGGGCAGCACATGGCCCCCCCCCCCCTCCCCCCCCGGGAAGCCCCTCTGCGGGCTCTGCCGTCGATCGTGCCCTATGCGATAGGGGAACAACAGTGGCATGAACATGAAATCTCGGAGGTCCGCGCTGTTTTCTCGGATCGGCATTGGACCCCCCTCCCTGGCGCGCGGAGCGCGCCAGGGGCGGCGCTGGAGGCGCCGCTGGGGGGCCCCAGCGCCGATCCGAGAAATCCGCGCGGATCTCAGAGTTTTTATGTTTATGCCATTTTTTGTTCCCCTATTCAACCCCTGGGCGTGGCATGCCCATGCAATTCCGTTTTTGGCAACGGCTAGCGTCGATTAGCGTCTGGGAGTCGACGATGTAGCGTCAACCAGCGTCGACTCAGCGTCGATCCAGCGACGATTGGCGTGGATCCGCAAGAGTGGACAAGATGGTATGGGAGGCTCCCCTGAGTTGCCACCGAACGATCATGTAAGACCATCGTTGCCCCGAACCCTCGACCCTCGATTAAGGGAGGAAAAACCACCCGGACGGGACAATTGGCGTTTACTACTCGGCCTTCGGCGTTTATTTCTTTGGGCGCGTTTGCAAAAAGCCTCGCGTGTCGGGGTGGTCATTATCGGGGTGGATTTTCCTGCCCTCCACGATCATCGACCCAATCCCGAGCGGCACCCCGGCGGCGAGGCGGCGGTGCCCGCGGAGCCTCCCGGCACCCCTGCAGCCCTGACCCTCGATCATCGACCCTCCGAATGAGGTGCTCGCTTGGGGGACCTTCCTGGAGAGCCCACCCAGAGGATCTGCCCGGCTCCTAGTTCGACGGCAGCTCGACTCAGGCTCGACTCAGGTTCGACTCAGGCTCGACTCGGGTTGACCAGGCAGGGCCAGCAGTAAGAGCGGTAGCACACTCGCTTTTTCCTCGGCGCTCCGGTGCCACCGCCGGGCTCTTGTAGGGCCGTCCCCCCGGGACGTCTGACCGGGTCGAGAAGACATCGTTTGGGAACATACGCGATCATCAACCGCACAATCAAGACACACTTGCACGCCACTTCGCCGGCCCACACGCAATATGCAAGAACGCCCGCACGCATGAACGATAATGGATGGACGGCGCGCGTGCCCGCGCGGGCAAAGCGCGGGCACGCATGACTGGCCATCAATGACCGCCAGCATTGGATGCCAATCGTACCCGATCACATACATGAGCGATACATTGAGCATACATGGGCCATTCAGCCCCCATTGAAGACCCCCTGTGGTAGACCCCCTCTTTCACCCTCCAATCAGGTCGACCCACATCGACGGACGTTCTCGACGCAGCTTCGACGCACGAGCGGAGCGATGGTGTCTCCAGGAGGGCCCCCAGAAGGAGCATCCGGCCGGAAGCCCTCGACCCTCCAGCGCCCAGCGCCCCCCTGAAACCCTCGACCCTCGATGTAAAGATACCCCAAAAATACCCCCAAAAGGTCAAAAAATATGACAAAAGTAGTCCCCAGACAATTTTTTTTTGATCTGTTGAGAATTTTTGCGGTATTTTTTATTTAATCGCTTCGCTCATGCCGCCGGCCCTGGAGCCCTCTTTAGGGCCTCTTGGGGGCCTCTTGGGGACCTCTTGGGAGTCTCTTGGGGCTCCTTGGCGTGTTTTGATTATCTGTTGAGAATTTTTGCGGTATTTTTTATTTTTCGTCGACAATCCCCCTGTAGGGGGACCGGCCCGACTTCACCCTCGACCAGAGTCCCGAGCGTCGCCCCCCCCGGCGGCGAGGCGGCGGCGCCGGCGGAGCTGCCGGGCACCCCGCGGGAGGGCGGCCCGGCCGGGGCGGCCGAGGAGCCGCGCCCCGGCGACGAGGCGGGTCGCACGGGGGGGGCCACGGGCCGAAGGGGAGGGGCCCCTATAATGCCGCTGCGAGCGGGGCGTCGGTATGAGGTCGGGCGTGTCCCTCTACAGGAGGAATGTTCAGGCACAGTCCAACAGATCGTGTCGGGACGGCTTGATTTGAATCATTTGCGACTATGTTTGAGTATGTTTTGATTTGATTCACGTATGTTTTGGCTACTTTTCATTGGTCGTCCAAAAGCCGCCTGTAGGGGAACATGCCCGACCTAGCCCAAGCCGCTGCAAACGGGGCGTTCGTAAACGGGGTGGCCTTAGCCTCTTCAAGCGAGAGCGAGGTGACAGGGCATTTATCTCGCGCCAGTGCTTTGTAAACATCGGGACGACAGACATGTCGATCCATTATCATAAGATAACTCCTGGCCGGGAGGGTCTCTCGCACATGCGCGGGGCAAATCAGTGTTTCTTTTTTTTTATTGGGATTACAATTGAAAACGCAATTTTGGGTACCGGCCCGTTTATTAACGCGCCGTTTGCTGGGCAGCGGCGAAGAAGAATGACCCCAGCAAAGTTGTCGTTTTGGCAATTCTTCTAGACCTCCCAGATGGGGTCCTTCAGCGTCTGGAGGTCAAGTTCTGACTTTGCCCTGGTCAAGTTCTGACTTTGCCCTGGCTGAGTCCCGCTTGATCCGGCTTGATCCCGCTTGATCCCGCGCGATCCCGTTTAATCCGCTGCCTAATTTGGCGTAACAGCCCAGCAATGGCGTTTGATCCTCTTTAGTCCTCCTGACAAAGACCTCCCGGCCGTTGCCTCCGAAGGGTCGGAGTAGATGGGGTCGGAGGATCGCGCCGCATCGCTGATGCATCGGCCTTGCGGCTCGATGAGGAGCCCGATGTCCTCCACGCCGACGTCGCCGATGCATCGCCAACGTTCACCAGTCTCGAACTTACCCCTATCCCTAAGATTGACACGCCAAAAGGCGATGACAATCTTAGGGATGCGCCCTGGAAAACTAAGGGAATCCATAAGATTGGCACCGCGATGAGGCGATGCCCAGCTTAGGGATAATTAGGGATATGTTCCAGGCTGGTAAGACGTCGCCGGCGCATCGCCGATGCAAGATGTGCCGTTTTTGCGAAGCTGTTGCTTTTGCAGCTCGCTCGAGGGAGGACACGGCACCCCGACTCCCGCAGTTGGCGTCTACTGAGCGGCTCTATGGGCGTTTATACCAAGCAGCCCTGCCCAGGTCCACTCCTTCCTTTGGCTCGTTTGCCGAACGGGCTCGCCTGTCGGGGTGCCTAGCTGTCTGTTCTCGGTAAGTGTCTGGCCTCTCGCCGTTGGGCCGTGCTCGGCCAGACGACGGCCGTGTTCGGCCAGCGTTTTGGCCCATTTTCGGCCAAGCGACGGCAGGCGTTTCGTTACTTTTTCAGCACCCGGGGGGGCCCGCTGGGCCGCGGGACCGTCAACATAATAGCCCAGGATGGAAAATTGGCCCTTGGGATAGAGTCTGGATTCTTGGGGGCTCGAGCACTGAATTTGTGTTCGGCGAGGGGCCCATCTATATGCAGGCGTGGGTACCGCAAGACAGGTGGAAACTAACGGTAGAGGGAACCTTCAAGGGGCTGCCCAAAGGACCAAGGCGTGCGTGGGAAGGGTTGAGTGACGTTATGGGGTCGGAGAGGTCAGCCGTAATGGGCTACATCTGGATGTAACCCGTTCTGGGTGATTTGCGCGCCAGACGGCGCGGCCTTTAGTGGCAGCAGGCGGTGGGGTCTTCGGTGGAGCTCCCGATGGGGCCACGAAGCGAGTGAGGAGTGCGCCGATATGGGCACGGTCACGCATGCGACCTGTCATTGGGGCCTTCGGTAGGGGCCACGCAACTCCTGATTGGTGCGCCAGACTGGGCGTAGTCACGCATGCAATTCCTGCCACTGGAGCCTTCGTTGCAGTCCATATGGGTCCGCGTGGGATTCTTGCGGAGATTCTGCGGAAATGGGAAGTGGGACATGGAGTCCGCAAAACGTGTGAGAGGTATGCGGAAATGGGCGCGGTCACGCGTGCGATTCTTGCTACTGGGGCCTTAGGTGGATTCCCCCCAAGGGGTCACAAAAGTAAGAGGGGTTCGCTGAAATGGTGTGGAGAGAGCGCAGGCGCTAAGAGCCGCCGGTGAAGTTCCCCATAGGGCCACGAAACGTGTGAGGTGTGCGCTGGAATCGTGTGGAGAAGGTATGCGAACGCAGCCACTGGGGTATTCGGTGGAGGTCTCTATCAGGCCACGAAACGTTTGAGTGGGCCACCGATATGGTGTGGAGAAGGTACGCAGACGTGTGCGGGATGCGCAGAAATTGTGTGGAGAAGGCCTTGGCGCCCAAAGCATCCTCCAGAGCCGCCATATCTCAGAGATTCTCTGTTTATCCTCACCCGGCTGTATCCTCGCCCTGTCCTCGTCTGAGAAGGAGGGAGAAGAAGAGGACAAGTGGAGCGAAAGGCGGGCCTCCCTGGCATGTGTCTGCCTGCTCTGGGGCCTTCTGGAGGCTTCTCGGAGGGGTTTGTTAGGTAGCAAGTAGTGCGAGCCTGGAAAAACCCTCTTAAGCTCGTCTCGACCGTCGAGTAGCAACTGGTAGTCGATGAGATAGCACCGATTTAACGTCGAGCGCGCGTCGATTAGCGTTGATCTAGCGTCGGTTAGCGTCGATTCGCAAGAGCCGGCAAAGCTGGTATGGAATCGATGTGGAGCGCCGCTGGAGTTAAGTCGGGCATGGCCCTCTACAGGAAGAATGCTCAAACATAATCCAAACATCGTCAGGCGACGATGTTTCGGCTACGCCCATGGTTCAGCTTCTGTTGACCATGCTCCACTCTTCTTCCAACATCTGCATGTAGAGAGACATGCCCGACCTATCATCAAAGGGGGAAAAAACACCCGGACCGGACAAGTGGCGTTTATTAAGCGGCTCTGGACGTTTATTACTCTGCCCCGCCCTGTTGATCCCTTCTCTGGGCGCGTTTGCTGACAGACTTCGCGTGTCGGGGTGGTCAGAAGGACCTCTATCTAGAAGCCTGGGGGCCGAGGTGGAGCGCCGCTGGAGGGGCGCGTCGCTGTCTCCGCCAGGCCTCTCCCCCTCCGAAAGATGGAAGGAGGACAAGCGGGGACCCCAGCGAGGCCCGCAGCCCGGGATACCAGGGGGGAGGACACAGGGGAGTAGCGGGGAGGCTAGCAAGGAGGGAGGAGAGGGGAGGAGAGGGCAGTCCAGGGCGGATGAGAGGGGAGGAGAATGGGGAGGAGAGGGGGGGAGATGGGGAGGATCGCGAGGGGGGAGGATCGCGAGGTAGCACAAGTGGAGGGGCGAGGGACGAGCGTGCTGGAAGGATCGAGGCGGCAGCGTCTCCCCGTGCCACGCCGCTCCGCCAGCGCTCCCATCAGTGACCCTGGCCCCAGGTTTAAGGTGGGCCTGTCCCTCTACAGGAGGGATAATATCCCTCCTGTAGAGGGACATGCCCATTTTGATTATTCAAAATGAGTAAAGAAATAGTCTCGGGATGATTTTTGCTACTATTCCTGAATCTGTTTTGGCTACTTGTTACTGCTCGTCTTAAAGTCCGCCTGTGGGAGGACATGCCCGACCGAACCCCAGGTGGCCCCCGCTCTCCCAGGGAGGCTCCGATGGCCTCCCGGGCCCCCAGGGGGGGGGGGGCCAGGCGGCTCCCCCCAGCGATGGCGCGGAAGGCCGGGGGGGGCGCGCTGGCACCCGAGCTTTTGGATCCGCCAGCGACAGCGGGAGAGTGTCTCCGAATGCTGGGGGCGCGCTGTCTGGGCCTCCCAGATGGGGTCTAAGTGGATGGGGTCGGCGCCTCGGCCGCCAGTGTTCGCGGGGTGCCCAGAGCGCCCGCGACACGCTATCAGCTCGAAGGACACAGCGTGTCGCCAGGGCCGCCGTCGCAACTCGCCAAGCAGAGTTTCTGACCGTAGGCTTAAGGGTCATGCGTTCTTAATCGCCGACTTATCGCCGATAGCGGCCCGATAGCCCAGGAAGGTTCGGATCTGCTAGATGGGGCCAAGCGCCGATCTATCGGCGGTGCATCGCCGATTCCGTGTCGATGTTTCCCCCCTGAGCCAGACGATCGTCTTCCAGGATCCCGCGACGGCTGGGTATGTGTGTGTGTGTGCTCCAGAGTGTGTGTGTGTGTGTTGTGTGTTGAGTGTTGTGTTGTGTTGTATTGTGTGCGTGCGTGCGTGCGTGTGTGCGTGCGTGCGTGCGTGCGTGCGTGCGTGCGTGCGTGCGTGCGTGCGTGTGTGTGTGTGTGTGTTTGTGTGTGTGTGTCTGTGTGTGAGTTCGATCGGTTCTTGCACCGAACCGCCCAAAACAGATGCCCCCCAGCCGCAGGCAGCTCCCCATAGTTGCCGACAGGTGGGGCATGCGGAGGGCATCTGTTTGCGGCAGCTCGGTGCACCAGCGGATCGAACTCATGCCCCCCCCCTCAGGGTCATCCCCCTTTGGTGGATCCCGAGTCTTGAACGCTCCCCATCACATCAGCAGATGCACCCTCGTCGCTCCTTTCGGCTCTGAAGGGTCACGCACCGGAGCAGGCGTGCGGTTGCGACGCGCAGCGGTCCCCGGAGGGCTCCGTCTGCGCCGTCCTGTGCCCCCCGCACTGGCTGCAGCCTTTCCAAGAAGAAACATCGGCATACAGTGGGGACCCATGCCAAGAAACACCCTGCTTGCCTCCAGAATACCCTGGTTTTCTTGAAATTCGACGGTTTTGCTGTGGAGAGCGCGACGTTCCCACACCAAAAATCGATGTACGTCCTGGGGTCTCAGGGTTGTGTTTCTTGTGGAAGGTTCCTTGTGGGCGGGCGCCTACTGTACCCATAAAAGTGGACCTGACGCGACTCCAATTAGAGGGAACATGTCATAGTGTATGGGCGCATGGATTAGCACTGCATGGACGTTTTGCGTAGCACTGCTTGGTGTTGCTTGGTGTTGCCTGGAGTTGCTTGGCCTTTCTTGGCCTTGCTTGACCTTGCTTGGCGTTGCTTGGTATTGCTTGGCGTTGCGTGGCGTTGATTGCATTGCTTTGCCTTGCCTGGAATTGCTTGGCATCGCCTGGGAATTGAAATGGGACCAATCAAGCCGTAGAATGCAGTAAGGGAACAACGCTCAGCAACCTGAGGAATGCCGTAAGGAAACCGGGCCAAGCCGCTCGAGGAACGCAACAAGGACACAAGCCCAGACAAGCCAAGGATTGCAGTGTGGGAACAAGGGCGAGCAACCCCAGACATCGCAACTGTAAGGGAACAAGGCCAAGCAACTCAGGTTCACGAGTGAGGGAATTATACCAAGCAGCCTCGTGGAACGCCACAGCAAGGAAACACACCAAGCAACCCGGAGGAACGCTGGCATGGCAGGCCAGGCACCCACGGATCCGCCTTTTCCAAGGCTGGATGGCAGAATGTGGAATCCAACATGCCGTCTTACCCAAACTATTACCATCCATCAATGTCCTCCGCAAGAACGTTGCGGGCAAGCAGCGGAAGCAGGGCACGCGGGACGTTCTACGCCGACGCAAGCTCGAGCCGAGCGGACGCAGGTCCCGATGACACGAACAGCCACTCCAGGCTCCAATTTTGGCCGCATGCAGTCGCAAGCAGACAGGATCCAGAAGCTCGACCGCCATCATCATCATTTGCACGAGCTGTCCCCCGAACCAGCAACATGCATTCTAGAGTGGCGAAGCGACTCGACTTGTAGAACGCAAGCCAATATTCTAGAATCGCCGCGTGCGTTCTATAAGCAGGAGAACGCAAAAAGGCTTTACATGATTTCATCTAGCATCAAACGCTCACCGGTCGGGCGCCAGTGGCGTGCTCCACCTGTGAGGCTCCAGTCGCGGGCTCAGGGGAGACCGTGCGATCGTTCCCAGACCATGTGAGTGGTCCATGCAAGGCATGTCACCCATCTCGGAAAACGACATAAACAAACAAATTCGGCGCTCCTCGTATATTTCTTTCATCGGCGCTGGGCCCCCCTGGTGGCGCGTCCGGCGCGGCCCCTGGCGCGCTCCACGCGCCAGGGTGGGGGTCCAGCGCAGATCCAAGCAATCCGCGCGGACAGTCGAACCTCTAGGTTCATCCCCATGAGGAAGCGCCGCAATGTCTTAGTAGTGGGAGCCCAACGCTGCGAGTACGCATGTCGGTGCGCCACCTGCGGTTCACCCCACAAGTCACCACACCAGTAGGCGACTCGGTTTTCCAAGTGCAGGCGCCGAGGTGGATCTCACCCAAAGCCTTGCACCCAGAGAACATGTTCAGAACGAGTCAAACTCCTTCGGCAAACCCTAAGTGGAGAACCAGACCAAGCATCCCCAAGCGCCACCGTAAGGAAAGGAGACCCAGCAGCTCCGGGGAACCCCGGCTGGACATGCCGGGCATCCACCGATATATCCTGAAATCCGACGCGGCGAAAAATTGCAACATCGCAGAAAATCACGACCGGAGCCCCGGACCCAATCTTTCTGCGTTCATTTTCGAGCCGGATCGATCGGTGAGGGTCCTGGGGCCCGAAACGGTGCGAAAGCGCCCGTCGTGAAAAAAATGCAACGCCGGCGTCTCAGGGTTCGTCACACAAGCAGGACACCCTTTGAAGCAAAGCCCCATTGAGGATTTTTTCTGGGGAACGTCGCGGACTTGTTCTTGGATCGGCGCTGGGCATCCTGGCGGCGCCTCTGGCTTCGCCCCTGGTTCCTTCCGCGACCCAGGGAGCAGGGAGGGGGGCACCAGCGCCGACCCAGGACATCCGCCCCGATCTCCGAACGCGTCGTTGAAGCAGGTTATTCTTCTTCTTCTTCCTCTTCTTCTTCTTCTTCTTCTCATTCTTATATTATTTTTTTACTATTATTATTACTATTATTTGTTTTATTATTATTATTTGTCTTTTTTCTTCTTCTTTTTCTAGTAATTTCAGTATTATCCGTGAGGGCTTCGCCCCCTGCCGCCGGCCCCCTCTTTCGGAGAATGCGCTGTGCAAGAGCTACGTCATGATGCCTGGGCACTGTCGTGAACCAGTATTGGAACTTCATGCGAGGCCGACTCGTAATGAGCAAAACCAATTGATCACCAGAGGGGTTACCACACCTGGCGGTTGGTAAGACGTCGTGACCCTGTGTGAGGGGTATTTTTGCAAGTGTTGCAAATCCCGTGTGTTTTTGGACCCTGACCCTACGGATCTGCGTGCGGGGTGCCACCGAATTTCAGAAATGTGGCAAATCCCGTGTGTTTTTGGACCCTGACCCTACGGATCTGCGTGCGGAGTGCCAGCAAATGTCAGCAATGTGGCAAATCCCGTGTGTTTTTGGACCCTGACCCTACGGATCTGCGTGCGGGGTGCCACCGAATTTCAGAAATGTGGCAAATCTCGTGTGTTTTTGGACCCTGACCCTACGGATCTGCGTGCGGGGTGCCACCGAATTTCAGAAATGTGGCAAATCCCGTGTGTTTTTGGACCCTGACCCTACGGATCTGCGTGCGGAGTGCCAGCAAATGTCAGCAATGTGGCAAATCCTTTGTGTTTTTGGACCCTGACCCTACGGATCTGCGTGCGGGGTGCCACCGAATTTCAGAAATGTGGCAAATCTCGTGTGTGTTTGGACCCTGACCCTACGGATCTGCGTGCGGGGTGCCAGCAAATTTCAGAAATGTGGCAAATCCTTTGTGTTTTTGGACCCTGACCCTACGGATCTGCGTGAGGGGTGCCATCGAATTGCAGAAAAATTGCAAATCCCTTGTGTTTTTGGACGCTGACCCTGCGGATCTGCGTGAGGGGCGCCACCGGATTTCAAACATGTGGTAAATCCTTTGTGTTTCCGGACCCTGACCCTACGGATCTGCGTGAGGGGTGTAGCCGAATTTCAGAAATGCATGAATCCTTTGTGTTTTTGTTGACCCTGACCCCGCCGATCTGCGTGAGGGGTGCCACCGAATTTCAGAAATGTGCCGAATCCCGTGTGCTTTTAGACCCTGACCCCGCCGATCTGCGTGAGGGGTGTCACTTCTTACCCCCCTCAGAAACTCTGAAAACCCTCCCAGGGCGTGGTAAAAATACCCGTTTTGGGCCTCCCCCCCCCTCGCGCGGTCCATAAACAAGGAACAGCAAGCAGCAAGAAGTCGACAAGGAACAGTAAGCAGCAGAAGCAGAACTGTACGTAACTGTGGAAACTGGAGGCTGCAGCAAGTACAGGAGACTGCGAAGCTTAGCCCTACAGCCTGGTGGCCCCACAAGGAGGCCGGCGGATTATTGTGTACACCTTATGCGATGCTTAAGAAAACCTACGTAATCGTCCAGAGTCTCGATTATTCTTAATTTTTCAATGTAAATCCCAAGATTTTGATAGAAGTTCTGGGTTACATTCAATTTCTGAGACTATGAATTTCTTAACCCATGATTTCTTAAGCATTTCGCAGGGTGTATCTTTTTGTGCTCATGTTCGGAATCATTGTTTTGCCGATCGGCGCCTCTGGCTTCGCCCCTGGCTCCTTCGGCGACCCAGGGAGCAGGGAGAGGGGGCCAGCGCCGATCCAGGACATCCGCCCAGATCTCCGAACGCGTCGTTGAAGCAGGTTCTTATTATTATCATTATTATTATTATTATGATTATTATTATGATTATTATGATTATTATTGTTATTAATATTATTATTATTTTTTCTTATTTTTCTTACTCTTCTTATTCTTCTAGTCATTACTATATTATTATTGTGTATCTTCTTGTGCTCATTTTCTGATTCATTGTTTTGCCGATCGGCGCGGGCCGTCGAGCACCCCCCCCCCATGGAGTAGATCTCGGCTGTTTTTGGCGCCTGTTTCGAGCAGGTGGAGTCTCCCCCAGAAGACGCGCTGCTGCAGACAGTCGCATTCCAGCAGAGCTCCAGAGCCAGACCCCCCCCCTCCCACCCCACTCCCGTCCAATGTCGAAACGCCGAACAAGAACAAGGTCACCCTCATCTTCATAATATTATTCTTGTTAGTCTGATGTTTATAACTTCTCTCAGCCTTCTTCTTCTTATTTTGATTATTATTATCATTGTTATTATCGGTCTGTGTATGCTCCTCTTCTTCGATTGTCTGGGGGCGCCGTCTGGCACAGGATTGGCGTAGACGCCGCCGTAGCAGATTCCGCCGCAGGTGGCATCACATCCTTCGGGGATAGGCGAGGGCGTGCGGGAGGCTCGGTGGTGCGCGAGAGGGCTGGCCTTACGTTGGGCCTGTCCCTCTGCAGGAGGAGTATGCAAACATGATTGCTGAACAGGTACGGGGACGAAGTTATGATTCGGTTTGACCATTTCGGGGGTATGTTGCAAGTCTTGTTTTTTCGCGCCCCGAATCCGCCTGTATGGGGGGACACGCCCGACCTCAGGCTGGCCCTCTGCGGGGGGTGGCCCTCCGAGAAGTCATAGGGGCCTCTCTTGCGAGCGTCGGGGAGGCTTCCGGGGCCTCGCCCTCACCTTTTTGTTGGGGCCCCTCCCGGGGGCGCCCTCGTCGCCACCGCTGGATTCGACTTTTTCTCCTCCTCCTCCTCCTCCTCCTCCTCCTCTGCATCCTCTTCCTCCTCCTCCTCCTCCTCCTCCTCCTCCTCCTCCTCCCTTCTCCTCCTCCTCCTCCCTTCTCCTCCTCCCTCCTCCCTCCTCCCTCCTCCCTCCTCCCTCCTCCCTCCTCCTCCTCCTCCTCCTCATCCTCCTCTTCCCGTGGCTGGAGGCACAAGTCTGGTCGGGACGCACCCCGGGAGAGGCCCCGCTGGGGAGCCGCGGATCTCCGCGGGGCCGGAGCAGGTGGGGTCGGACGGCCGAGCAGTACTGCAGATGCAGCGGCGATGCGGCGCGACCTGGTTTAGAGCCTCTGTTTGTCTCCATCCCGCCGTCGCCGATGCCTCGGCGATGCGGCGCGATCCGCTCGTCCGATCCCAGCTGCTCTGGCCTCGTCCGATCCAGGCCTCCGAGGAGTTAAGTACTAGGTCGGGCATGTTCCTCTACGGGGGGAAGACTCAAAACTAATAAATGATCAGTATGGGGGCGATGCTTCTACGATTTTTGTTTATCTTGAAATATGTTTGACTCTCTTGTCATTTTCTTCTTCCAAAATCTTCCTGTAAGGGGAAATGCCCGACCTGAGATTACTAGGGCGCTCTAAGGAGCCCCAGTGGCTTCTGGGAGTGCCACTCCCTCGCCCTACTTTCGGAGGTTGATCGACCTCCTACCCTGACACGTCGATTAGCGAATTGGCCGTTTTCGGTTTGCGGGAGAGCGTCGCGGCCGTCATGTTTGCGGGTCCAGGTCCGTCGGTTTCGGTCCCAGGCCGTTTTCACTGAAGGGTGGCTTAGTAAAGGGAGGTTTGTCCACCGCCGATGCCTCCTTGTGCGCAGCGCCGCCAAGTGGAGCTCGTACCTGAGGGCGCCACCTGGAGCACAACGATGGCCGCGGTCGACGCGGAGGACCCGGCGGGCTCCCCGACGAGGATACCCATCGCAGAGCTGCCGCCGCTCCCGGACCGAGGCAGCGGCTACTGGCAGGAGCCTTGGCTTGGAGTCTGCGTCGTCTCGCTGATGTGCGTGGCGCTGGTTTCCATTGTGACCGGCGTCGCTCTGAGCCGCCTGTCCCTCGCCAGTGAGGCTGGCAAAGAGGCCCTCATCGTTACCAAAGCGATGCTGGCGCTGATTTGGGTTGAGGCTCTGGTGGCCGTGCTGTCGACTCTATACATTGTCTTTGGCGGCGCCGGAGTGATTCAGCGAAGTCCGGACACGTGCTATCCCATACCTCGTGAGGTGTTGGATCAGTTGCGCGGCAGGGGAGACACCCAACTGTTGCACAACAACATTAAGAGCGATGGACAGCCTGCTCTGCCAGACGGAACGTATTGCGTGCGTTGTTTGGTCTGGCGGCCGACAAGTGGGATCGTTCACCATTGTAGTGTTTGCCAGCGGTGCGTCACTGGTTTTGACCACCATTGTGGTGTCTTCGGCCGTTGCATCGTGGAGGGCAACATGAAATGTTTCAAGGCCACCATCAGCATGGCAGTCGCGGGCTTCATCACCGTGCTGGTGACTGTTGCCAGCGGCGACGAATTTGGATTATTTGCCCGATGACCGCAGACGGACCATTCGCGTGGGAGTGCAAAGCTGGCGCCCCACCGCGACACCATACGTTTTGTACAAGGCGAGAGATGTCATCTGCACGGTGTCGACTGTCAGATCGGTAGTGGCCTTGCAAAGTAAAGTTGACGTGCTGAGTGGCAGCGCGGAGTTGTACGCTTGTGTTCTGAGGCCCAGCGGCGGGCTTCTTGCGTTTCCAGCGGTCGTGGGCGGGCAGATTGCAGCCTGCGGGACGCAAAAGAAATGGCATGCCCATGCTCAACCGTCCCTTCTGCCAAGCGAGGACGAGCCGCCCCGATTCCCCACAGCTGGCGTTTGCTGAGCGACCTGGGATCGGCGCCGCCCCAACATACTAATACTATGTGTGTCGCCCCCACCAGGAGCGACGCGCGCACCGAGAAATCTTGTAGTAGATGCGTCGTGGCGGGCGATATCACAAGATGATTATACTAATTATGTGGTCGGATCGGACATACGCCTCCAAGGAGGACACAGAGTACTAGTACAGTCGGGGCCCTGAAGAAGGAACCCTTTTGGTTGGGGAGGGGCTCCGCGTTCCTTAGGTGTTTCACAGCTTGCCTCAGGTTTTCCTTATGTTTTCGATAGGAAGTCGAAGTTTAACTTATGGAAAAAAGGGGCCTCGTTCCTTATTTAGGGTTCCTTAGGTCAACGCCCCGACTGTATGTCCTTGTGCGTCCCATGGGAGTCTGTTGAACAGCCCTGTCCTGTGTTACACGCCCCAGGGGCGCGAGGATCATCGCGCTGCACGCGTTTCGGCCTGGACCGGACAGCTGCTCCTCACCGGTGGCCTTTTGCGAGGTCGCTCGCGGAGGTGGGCGCTCGTCGTCGCGCATCGCAGGGCGCGATGGGCGAAGCCAGGTGGCCTGATTTCACGAATTGGGCTCCGCTTGTACGGGTGCGTATTACCGTAGATTCGCCTCGGGTCGACCGACGGCGACCCCGCCGCCTGGGTTCCACGTTGAACGCCGCCTGCGACCCAGAATCGGTCGATGTTGAACGATCTGACGCTTCGGAAGCGGCCGATCTATCAAGGTTGGAACGATTCCCGCAGTGTCAGGAACCAGAACCAGGGTCGACATGACACGAACCTGCCGTATGAGGTTGGCTGTGCTGCCCTCCAGTTCGGAGTCTCTTCGCAGGAGCGCGCCGCACCCGTGAAGGGACTTCGCTGACCTTCGAGGAGGATTACAACACAGCAGCAGGATCTCTGTTTTTGAAGTTCAGTTGATTTCTTGAGCAGTCCAGATTCGGGGAGACGTGCGACTCGAGTGCGCCGTCGCTTGTTGACGGCCCCGTCCTAGATGTTTAAGGGCCGAGTCTCCGTGAGATGATTGCAGCGGGAGTTCGTGCCAAATTCCAGGTTAGTCTCGTCATTTTCCTGACGGCCCCGTCAAGCCAACCCGCGTCCCCCAGAACCGAGTTCAACGCCCCACCGATGGATAGGTCGATGCGTCTGGAGAGCTATTCTCCACGCCGGCGAGGTGTGTGTGTGTGTGCGTGCGTGTGTGTGTGTGTGTGTGTGTGTGTGTGTGTGTTTGAGTGTTTGTGTGTTTGTGTGTTTGTGTGTTTGTGTGTTTGTGTGTTTGTGTGTTTGTGTGTGTTGTATGTTGTGTATGTGTGCGTGTGTGTCTGCGTGAACCCCCAACCTCCCGACTTTCGGAATCGGGGTTGAAAGTTCGTGCCAGGGAGGCGGGTGGGCCAGTTCCAGCGAGGACGGGTTTTTGAGTGCGGGGAGGCGATGCCAAAGCGGTGGAGGCTAGGGTTCCTTGGAGCAAACAAGCGTGCATAAAACACGCTCTCTCAGATACAGTCGGGGCCCTGAAGAAGGAACCCTTTTCGTTGGGGAGGGGCTCCGCGTTCCTTAATCGTTTCGCAGCTTGCCTTGGATTTTCCAGAGGCTTTCGGTACGAAATCGAAGTTCAACTTATGGAAACTAGGTGCCTCGTTCCTTATTTAGGGTTCCTTAGGCCAACGCCTCGACTGTATTCTGATCACCCTCTGAATCTTTGGCACGTGCTGCGTTCGAGGCACGGGCTCCCGCCGTCTGTCCCGCAGGGTTGAGCGCCTCCTCGCCCTGCTCGACAGTGGCCGCGACCCAGACCCCGATCCGCGGACGAGGACGCGTCCGACCCTGAGGTGCCGGGCGAGGCTGCGCGTGGGGGCCAGCCTCCCCACCCCGCCCAGCATCGTGGGCATTATTCGGGTAAGTTTGAGTCGGGCCTGTCCCTCTCCAGGGGGAATAGTCAAAAATACGTATAAAAAAGAATCAGGGGAGTATTGTTTCAGTATTGTTTGACCATTTTGGAGTATTGTTTGAGTATTTGTTCATTGTTCGTCGAGAATCCCCCTGTCGGGGGACACGCCCGACTTAAGGGTAGGTTCGCGAGCGTGAGACGTTCAACAAAAAGCATGTGTACAGCGTTACAGGCGAAGGCCCCCTTGAGCGGCTCCCTGGCGGGGGCGCCGAGCCGGCTTCTTCCGATCTTCTCGCGCGTTCCAGTGCGGAATTCCACCCCGCAGGGCGACAAGATCTATACACACACAGCCACCGCCGCTCGCCAGGCCCGTCCTGGGGGCAGGAGCTGTGTCTGTGCCTCCCCTTCCGAGCCAGGGGGGCCTGTATACACCCGCTGTCCTCTTGCACGCAGGGCAACGTGCCTTCCGCTTGCCCCGATTAGCCTCACGCTGGAGCGGAGGAGGAGGAGGAGGAGGAGGAAGAGGAGGAGGAGGAGGAGGAGGAGGATGAGGAGGAGGCGGAGGGGGGAACACCTCCTCCTCCTCCTCCTCCTCCTCCTCCTCCTCCTCCTCATCCTCCTGAGGACTGCCTCTGCCTCGCCGCCGACGGAAACATAATACACCCGCGGATCGGAGCGGCAGGGCGGCCGCTGGCTGGGCCCGCGCCCCCCTCCGCCGCCCCCCCCCCCACGAGGTGGCCGCGGCCAGCCCGCCGCGGCTCGGTGACCGCGCCCGCGAGGAGGCCCGCGGCGCGGGTCCCCTCGGCGCGGTGCTGCTCTTCAGCCCCAGCAGGCACGGCCAGGCCCCGCCGCGGTGCCCCGCGGCAGCGGGCTCCTCCTCCTCCTCCCCATTCCTCCTCCCTCCTCCTCCCTCCTCCTCACCTCCTCCATCCTCCTCCTCCTATCCTCCTCATCCTCCTCCTCCTCTCTCCTCCTCCTCCTCCTCCTGCTCCTCCTCTCCTCCTCTCCCTCCTCCTCCTCCCTCCTCTCCCTCCCTCCCTCCCTCCCTCCCTCCCTCCCTCCCTCCCTCCCTCCTCCTCCTCCCTCCCTCCCTCCTCCTCTCCCTCCCTCTCCTCCTCCTCCTCCTCCGCCTCCTCCTCCTCCTCCTCCTCCTCCTCCTCCTCCTCCTCCTCCTCCTCCTCCTCCTCCCCCTCCTCCTCCTCCCTCCTCCGCATCCTCCGCCTCCTGCTCCCTCCTCCGCCTCCTCCTCCTCTCCTCATCCTCCTCCTCCTTCGCTGCTGCGGGCGGCGCGCGCGCGGTGGCGGGCGGCGGCGGGCGGCGCGCCCGCGGCCACGGCGGCCGCGCGGCGGCGGCGGGCGGCGCGCTCGCGGCCATCAGATCGACGGCGCGTAGTTTGGTATCGATCGGGCGTGTGCACGTTGCCGTGGCGAGGATCATCGAGGAACGTCCTGGTCATCTTGCGGAAATCAAAAAGACAAAACGGCATCAACATAAACTTTGGGCGCTCCGCGCGGTCTTCTATAATGGCATGATCAATGCTCGAAGCCGAACAATGCACTACGAGTGGACGTCCGAGCGATGGCGAGGGACGAGTGACCTTTCGGCGGAGTGGTCTTGTGTGCGGGCTCATCGGGGCCGCCCCCCCCGATCGCGGAGCCTGATGCGCTAATGAGCGGTTGCCTTCGCGCGTGGGTTTGGCCACCTTGTGCCCCCTTGGTCCGCGCACCAAAGGTCACTCTCGCTTAGGGTTTTTTTGTCAAGGAATGAAAAATCATGTGGTTCCGACAATTGAAGTTCACTAAGCGGCCTTAGGCGGTTACTAAACAGCCCTGCATGGTTCGATTCCTTCCTTGGGTACGGTTACTAATGGCTTCGCCTATCGGTTTGATTTTCCCGTTCAAATTGTGCGAGTAGCCAATCCGATGTGGGCGTCACCAGTCTCGGGGGTGGGGGTGCGGGCGGTGGGGGCACGCGGCGGCGGCGGCGGTAACCCTCAGACCCCAGGCGTGGATCCAAGAAATCCGCGCGGATCGTCCACAATTTCTGTGTAGGATGCTTCCTCTTTTTAAAAAAAGAAAAAAAGCAGGACGACAAGTTAGCCCTAGGCGGGGATCGAGATCGCCAAGGCCTCGAGTTGCGCACACATTGCGACCTTGACGACGGAGCGGCGGCGGCGTCGTCGCTGAAGCCTTTGGGGTACGATGTTCGGGGGGTGAGATGTTTAGGCGTGTTCGGTTTCCGCGTCTCCCTCGGCGTCGGCGTCGATACAGAGAAACTGGGACTGAGATCGGGCGTGATAAGCTCGAAGTTGGCAATTGGCCCGTGGGAGCGCGAGGATGATCGCTTATCGCGTGTCACGGCCCGGGCCAGACTGGCTACCCGTCTCAACCCGGCGGGGGGGGGGTTCGCGACGGGCGCGAAGATCAGAACCGCGGCGCCGCGCCTTTCGGGGAGAGTGTGTTTGTTCCCCACCCGACAGGTTGAGGTCGTGAGATTGTTGTTGTTGTTGTTGTTGCTGTTGCTGTTGCTGTTGCTGTTGCTGTTGCTGTTGCTGTTGCTGTTGCTGTTGCTGTCGTTGTTTGTGGTGTGTGTGTGTGTAAAACAGGCCTCCCGGCCCGCCCGCCCTGCATACCGCGGCCACCAGACCCCCAGGCTCCCGATAATCCCTGGTGGTCCCGCCCCTTTCCCCTCGCCCTGCATACCGAAGCTGCCAGATCTCGAGGCATCCGATAAGCCATGGTGGTCCTGCCCCCCGCCCCGCCCTGTAATCCGCGGCCGCCAGATCCCCAGGCTCCCGATAATCCCTGGTGGTCCCGCCCCAGGCGCCGACTCGCCCACTCCGCATACTGCGGCCGCCAGATCCCCAGTTCCCCCGATAGTCCCTGATGGTCCCGCCCCCTGCGTCGACTCGCCCACTCTGCATACCGCGGCCGCCAGATCCCCAGTCCCCCACAGAACAGAGCATAACACCACTTCACCGAACATAATATATCCGAGCATAATATTTCATATCTTGACAGACCATATCGTAACATAACATACCATGAAAGAGCCTTGCATAGCATAGCATAGCATCACAACACATCTGATTCCATAACATGACAATCAACATACCGTAGAAGAGCCCTTCATAACTGCACATACAAAACAGAGCATGCCACATCATCACATAGCATTGCACAGCATGTCATAACACAGCACAGAATTGCAA